TGTCCCCACCCTCCCTGCTGAACTCTACAAAGGCAACAGGCGAAGACTGACTGCTAGAGTTGGTGCGGCAGTAACCCATTCCCCCAAATGCACCAGCCTCCACTGGCATTGTATCAAAATATAATTTTTAAGTGTATAAATATTATTGCGAACAAAAAACTAGCACATGTCTTTGTGGGATTCAAACCAAACAAAAAGCTCTGGCTGGTCTGGATTATGCTAGTTGAAATCTGTGCTTTGCAAGAATTAAGCGAAAGGAGAATTGATGGGATCGCTTCCTCCCATCCCAAATGAGAACAAACTCATTGTAAAGATAGATATTTCTGTCTTAAGGTAAAAATTGTCTTTAGTTAGAGATGGCAGAAAAATTGTAAGCTCAAACTTTATGGTGGGGGGGCGGACAGGTCCAGCCCTGTCATTAGGCAGATTGAAGCAGCCACCTCAGGTCGCAGATGCTGGAGAGTGGGGAGTGGTGTGGAGATGTTAGAGGACAGAGCTGTGTGTTCCACTTGCCCTACCCTATTGCATCTAAGTTGGTCTGCTGTTCTTAGGATGATGCTGTCCCATTGCCAGTGTTGATGTAAGAGCCCATTGTCAGTCCAGCTGGCTTCTGCTTGTTAAAGGGAGGAATCATCCTTTTGTCCTCAGGCAGCAAAATGTATTGGGCCAGCCCTGAAGAATGATAACCTTTTGCCTTTTTATTTCTGTTCAGATCCACTGTGAACTTCATAGAATTAAGCTGAATCCTAACTAACACATACATTTCTGGGTGCCCAAATCCACGCATTTCTGTCACGAAGTTGTCGTGTGTGTGTGTGTGTGTGTGTGTGTGTGTGTGTGTGTGTCCAAGGGACACTGTGTTTTCTAGACTGCACTGTAAGTGTCTGATGAAATTTATCCACCCCAAATTCACCGTCCACTTACTGAAGTGATATACTTACAACCTGGAGTTGAGTTGCACGGTCTCAGATAAACACAGCTGTGTTTACCTGAGTTGTGCGATCCCTTGTACATGAGACCAACTTCAAATAAATGCACTCAAGAGGGGTGGCGCTGCAAATGCACATTAAAATAAATGCAGGAAAGCACACTTGTTAGATAGGAATGGAAAACCTCGCTTCAAATAAATCTACTGAGTGGGACTCTAGCTCATGGAGCCCGTCCACGTGCCACGCAAAAGGGCTAGCATTAAATTGGAAAATGAAAGGCAAAAGAAGAATTGCTTTAGCATGTTAATGCAGCTTTATAAATAAGATTTTAAATGCTGTACTGTAAGGAAATCAAGTTACGTTTCCCACAATATATGTAATAAAGTTACACTGCACATCTACAGCAAGGTTTAATGCATAATAGTGAATAATGTAGTATACAAAATTATGAAGAGTTATAAAGTGACCAACTTTGAAGGGGGAGGACACAACAACAATAGTGTGATGAATATAGTATCTGGAATGACAAATACAATGAACAGGCAAAGGGCTTTGGTCAAACAAATGTTAATTGTCGTCGTCGTCCCCCCCCCCGCCCCCGGCAACTTAGTTAAGAACAAACCCTAGATTTAGGCTGATGAATGCTTTATGATAATTACCAGGGTAAACTGGCTTAAATTCAAGCACTTTGTTTTAAGACGGTTTCGATCAATTGGGCTCTGCATGTTTCAGTATAAGTTCATTTCAAAACGCTGGTTTCTAAAATGTGTGGAGCGTGTGCTTCAAGCCTCTCTTCTACTGAAATCAAAAGAATGTTGCAGTGTTTACATGTTGTGTCATTTGTCTGCAAAGTCAACTTCCAAGCCTCCATGTGGGCAGCTGACAGAAGCATGCACAAGTTCCCAGGTTCAATCCCAGGCAACTCCAGCTAAAAAAGGACAATGAACCAGGGACCAAGTGATGGGGAAAAGTTCTGTTAAAACCCTGGAAATCTGCTGCCAGTCAAAGTACACAACACTAGGCTGATATAGAGCTAGGTGGATCAAATGTCCCATCCTTCTCCCTCTAGGCATGCCACTGTTTTTTTGCCAGGCATACTCAAACTATTCACACCCATATATTCTAGAGGAGACAAGTAGGAGTGGCCTTCACTGGAACCCAGAAGGCAAGAATAGTTTGCATTTCATGAAATAAGCAAACAAGAACATTGCCAGCTCAGATGCAATAAATGGATGTAGCCCCATCTTGTGAGAAAGGAGACAGGAGTGGCTCCTCCACTGCAAGTGAGTGCAACTTGCCACCCGCCAGGTTGTAGGTGCCTATGTTCTGCAAGGTGCTGGATAGCAGCAGTGAGAGTTGATGGACCCCCTTGTAGCTGGGCTACTAAATCTGGCTGGCAAGGGGAGTTCAGTCTGGTGGATCACAAGCCATGCAGGCCAGTTCTAGATTGAAATTCACAACACTGCCCTTGATTCCTACAAATCTCCCCCTCCCCTATTCAGGAAATAAGGATTTTTTTTCAAAAAGTTGGAAGCTTTTCTTTGAAACTGCCAAAATCAGATTTATGAACT